TTGTTGTGCCGTTGTGGGTCTGTTTGATCGCTCAGGGTTCTTGTTTTCTTGTTTGACCGTCCGCTGTTAGAGACCCCAAAAGAGCCCATACATCAAGTATTGAAACGTAACCCCTTGGCTGGTTGGGATATTAGCTTCGCAAGTCTTGAGTTCAAGTGCTGCTTCGGGCTGCTAAAACTTAGCCTTAAACCCTAAAACCTTAAACCTGCAACCCTAAGCCCTAATCCCCTACACCCCAAACCCTCAACCCCCAAACCCGAAAACCCTCAATCTTAAACCCTGAACCCTAAACCCCTAAACCCTAAACCACTAAAGCCCTAAACCTTATATATCCTAAGCCCGAAAACGCAGGGTTCAGGGCTCAGAACCTTCGTCGCGAGAGCCGGGGCTCCCAAGCTTTGGCTTTGGGTGAAGGAAAGGTTTAGAGTAGGGTGGGGTAGGGTAGGGTAGTGGTAGGGTAGTCCTAGGGTAGTAGTAGGGGTAATTAGTGGGGTAGGGTAGGGTAGGTTCAGGGTTCAGGGGTTTGGGGGTTGAGGGAGTTTTAGGGGTTCAGGGGTTTGGAGGTTTAGGGGTTTAGGGGTTTGGGGGTTTGAGGGTTTTAGGTTCAGGGGTTTAGGGTTTATAATTAGGGTTTAGGGATTTGGGTTTAGGGATTGAGGGTTTCAGGATTTAGGGTTTAGGGTTTAGGGATTCGGGGTTTAGGAAATGAGGGTTTGGGGTTTAGGGGTTGGGGTTTAGGGATTGAGGGTTTCAGGATTTAGGGTTTAGGGTTTAGGGATTGGGGGTTTAGGAAATGAGGGTTTGGGGTTTAGGGATTGGGGTTTAGGGATTGAGGGTTTCAGGATTTAGGGTTTAGGGTTTAGGGATTGGGGGTTTAGGAAATGAGGGTTTGGGGTTTAGGGATTGGGGTTTAGGGATTGAGGGTTTCAGGATTGGGGGTTTAGGAAATGAGGGTTTGGGGTTTAGGGATTGGGGTTTAGGGATTGAGGGTTTCAGGATTTAGGGTTTAGGGTTTAGGGATTGGGGGTTTAGGAAATGAGGGTTTGGGGTTTAGGGATTGGGGTTTAGGGATTGAGAGTTTAGGTAGGATTTAGAGTTTCGGATGTAGGGCTGAGGGTTTAGGGTGTAGGGATTAGGGTTTGAGGGTGTAGGATTTAAGGTTTCAGATGCAGGTTTCGGGTTGATGGATTGGGGTTTAGGGCATTTGTGAGACTTTGGATGCATTATGGCGGGTAAACCCTCCGGGTGCAGTTGCTTGGCCCAAAAGCGGTTTTCCCTGGACATGGTGTGGGCACAAGGGCGATTCCGGGTTTAGGGTTTCTTTCTTAGGGCGACTAAGAAGATTTTCGCTTGAAGGTTGATCGCAGCCTGGAGGCACGCGAATAGAAGGAAGGAAGAACCGACTCCGCCAGGCCGTGGCGGGAGGAGCCCAAGCCGTCGGCGCCGAAGCCCAAGCCGCCGACGGAGCCCTCCGAGAGGAGGACCCCGAGGAGGCGTGGGAAGCCCCCTTGCACCTAGGGCTTTGGTTCAGGATTTAGCGTAAACTTGGAGGCCTTTAACATTTCATTTTGGGGTCAGGGCTTCTAGCTTTTGTTCGCTTATTCTGGGGTCGAGGACCTTATAATGATGCTTAGGGTTTAGCGTGCAGGTTTTCAGATGTTGATTTCAATGTGCAGGTTTCAGTGCATTTATGAGAGGTTCAGTTTTGAGGGTTTAGGGGTTACTTGGAGGATCATGGCACTTAGTAAGTAAGGTTATAAATACATTAATTGCAGTTGTAAGTATAGTTACCTTATTTATAACCCTGGTTCCTAAGTCCCATGATCCTCCAAGTAGACCCTAAACCCCAAACCCCTATAGATCCCTTATAGAACCCTTTAAAAAGAGCCCCATAAGGAACCCTTTAAGGAACCCTAAGTCCCATGATCCTCCAAGTATAGAGCTTACAGTGCCAAAGTTCCATACCCAAAGGGTTCTGGGTATTGTTATGCGGGATACTTCCCCAAATCATAATAGTAATTCCTAATATAGAAACCCTACATTCTACTATATAGGTACTTTGGACCCTTAGGGCTAGGACCTTGATCGAAACACTAAAGCGGTGACGCTTCTCTTGCCCTATCTTTCGAGGCTTTGGGTTCCATTGCTTCAGGGCGTGTCCGAACCCCGACACAACATAGGGGTGCCCTTAAACGATCTACAGACCAAAAGGGTCCAAAGTATCTATATAGTAGAATGGTAGGGTTCTATCTTAGGAATTACTATTATATGATTTGGGGATGTATCCCCCAGAACAGTACCTAGAACCCTTTGGGAGAGCCTTTCGGGTTCGATTTGCAGAGTCCTATGAGGGTTCTTTTAACTTATTGGCTGTAAACTCAACTTTTCAACTTTTGGGGTTCTTATAAGGTGGTCGATTCTGAAAGTTTCAACTTTTATTTCCTTGGGTTTTGGGCCAGTGAGTTAAGGGTTCCTTTCAAGAGGATCTATACTAGTACGCTGTCGGCGAACCCCAGCTCAGGCCTCTTATGTGGAGTTACCTGGGTGTGATTGGGGTGGCAAGGACTGACCAAGGGGGCATCAGGCACCTAGTTGTGAGTGCCATTGCGGTCAACCAAGCTCTTGACTTACGGATACATTCAGTTAGACATCTTAAGCAACCGCAACCTTTAACTCTAGCCACACCAAGGCATCTTCGTGCAGACCTCACACAACTTTCAGCTGAACAGCCACCGGTTTGTTCTCGTGATGTTTCATACCTTTGTGGCCATGCTTAAATTAAAGCTCAAGCCCAAACCTACCCCGAAAAACACAATATGTTTACCTCTACGTTGAATCCTTAACCCTTTGTATGCCTGCGAGAATCTGGATCCACATGACACCCTCCGTAAGGTCGTCGCACCTAGTTCGAGGGGCATGGGACTTAGCAAGCAGGTTAAGTATAAATACAGCTATAGGTAGCCTTCGAAATTGCAGCTCCGCCTAAAGCCTCCTTGCTAGTAACTTACTAGGTCCACGGTTCCTTTAACTTCCTCCAGGACTCGTGTTTGGTGTATACCAGACCATAAACTAAGTAGCTACATGGGGGTTTCCGAAAATAGGGGGTACCTTATTATGGAGTCCTTATAATAAGGATCCTACTATTTAGAGTACTCGGGCCCCTCACTTTCGGAAACCCCCACATCGCCTTTCCGAGAGGCCCCAGAGAAGGCAATCCTTATAAAGGCTGCGCTCACGTGGTTCGTCAAACATGCGTCTGGCCAAGACAACACATTTGCCGGGCGATTGGCTTTCCCAAAGGGTACAAGTCTCATTATGGTATACACTTATTTTGGGGATCTAAGTATACACCATAATGATACTTGGACCCTTTGGCTTTGTTGAAGGACAAGAAGAAGCATTGGATGATGAAGGAGAGGAGTCAGCCAGTTCACGTGCAGATGAAAAGCTCCAGCACCCTGCCTAAACCCTAAACCCTAAACCCTAAACCCAAAACCCTAAACGGTTGCGCTTCCTCAAGGGTGTTACAGCTCTCCCCGAACTGCCCCTCAACTTGGGAACCTTCGCATAGATGATGACGACGACGACTTCCATTTCCACTACGATGATGATGATGACTACTGTGGTTGAGGCATAATTGGCTTACGTGAGGAGAGGGAACTCCTGGAGCCCGAAACAGTCCCTGAAAATCACGTCCAAAGTGCGTATAGAAACCTTACAGTCTCTTTTACTCGACTAAATAACAACCGATAAAACCAGACGATGGCCTCTTAAAAGACTTTCCCTAAGGGTCCAAAGTACCTATATAGTAGAATGTAGGGTTTCTATAGTAGGAATGACTATTATGATTTGGGGAAGTAGCCCCCATAACAGTACCTGGGACCCTTTGGGTTTGAAACATGATAAGACCCAAGCCCTGAAAAGTGCAGGTGGCGGATGTGGCCGCAGTTTCGGCGGTGGACCTCCCGGAGGCTGTGCGGCTGAAGTCTCACATTCGTACGAGTTTACTTCGGGGGCCCTGTACGGGTTTCTAACTGATGTTTCCGTTATGCAGGTTGCATTACATATATATATATATGTTTGTGTGTATATGTATGTATGTATGCATGTATGTATGTATGCATCTATCTGTCTGCATGGATGTATGTGTTTATGTATGCATGTATGTATGTATGCGTGGATGTATGTGCTTATGTATGTATGTATGTATGTATGTATGTATGTATGTATCCCTGCATATGTTTATGTAAATGTATATGTATATATATATATATATATATATAGATAGATATGCAAATATGTATTTTTGAGTGTATGTTTATGTGTAGACACATATGCAAGTCACACACACATATATATATATACACACACATATATACGTCTATATATACGTCTATATATATATACATATATATATATATATATATATATATATATATGTATATATATATATATGTACATATATATACATATATAATATTATATATATATATATATATGTATTTATTCATGTATTTATTCATGTATGTATTTATTTATACACATACACACATATTCATAGAGACATAGATACTTAGGTACATACGTACATACATACATACATACACACACCATACATACATACATATATATATATATATATATATTATATATATATATATATATATATATATATATATGCATATATATATATATATATATATATATGTATATATATATATATATATGCACACATACGCACAATACACACGTGTGCTCTCCCACACGGCCCACACGTACAAAAACCAACAAAAATACATACACACACAAGATGCACGCACGCACGCGCAACCCACTCCCACACCCACACCCACACCCACTCACGTTACCTGCTAAGATGTACGATTTGCTGCCGGCCACTTAGATTTGTTGCCGGCGTCTGGGCTCGAAGTAGGGTTCCAATGCTAAGATGCAGGATTTATTGCTGCCAGGCGTCTCATGCCCGGGGTTTTGTGCGGGTTTTGTCCGTTTTCTTGGCGGTTTCGACCGGGTTCTGCTGTTGGCTTTGTCCGTTCAAACCTCTCTGCATGTTAGTGGTTTAAGTAAGTTGACATGATGGAGCCTCGAGAGGTTGAAGTAGTTTGATGCGCTCCCAATCTAGATAACCCCTGAACCCCTAAACCTTTAAGCCCGAAGCCCCAACATAGACAGGGGGACCTAGCCCCAAGGGTGCCAAATAATCATATACTCTCCAAAATCCTAACCTGCATAACTACGATCCTAGAGCTGAGCACCCAGGTTTTGGGTCCCTTGGACCCTTGGGGTAACAGCTGAACTGCACAACTTCCTGCTAAAGGCTCAGAACCCCAAGCCCTTCTAACGCAGGAGGAAGATCCTACGGCGCCTGGGCTTCACGGTTTAGGGTTTGACTGTAGGGTTTAGTGGTTTGGGGGTTTAGGGGTTCAAGGTTAAGGGGTTTAGGGGTTAAGGGGTTTGGGGTTGAGGAGTTGAGGGTTTAGGGGTTTTAGGGTTTAAGGTGCAGGGCTTTGGAGTTCAAGTTCTGCTCGCACGCGGGGTTTCAGTGCCTCATCGGTAAGCATCTGGGTTCAGGGTTGTGTTACCTGTGCTTGCATTCCGAAGCAACCCGGTGCATACACCTATCAAGGCAGGAAGTTGATTGTAAGGGGATACTCTGAACGAGTGAGTTTGTATTTTGCAAATCTCCTGCATAAGCTCCTCAATGCAACCCCGAAGCTTTCTTGAGGAACTGGAGTCAATACTACTCTTTAGTCCCTCAGTACAACTGCAATATAACATATCCCTTAACCAAATTCCAACTGTAAAGCTCTCCAGAGTTAATCCTCAGCATGTTTCGGCGTGCTTCTTCTTGGTTATGAACTCGCCAGAGAGCGTGTGGCTGCTTTGTGGAAACGTGGTGCCGAGCAAGGAAGCGTTCTTGGTTCTGCACTCCTGGACTGCGGACCTATAAAGAAGATTTTATGGTGATGCTTCATCGCGACAGCAAAGAGAGCAAGATTGGGCTGAAGTATCTGAGGCGCACCATGGAAGTGTGCAATGTCGCCACAGATGGGCTTCTTCACAGGCACAATGCAAGTATCGACTCGATGACTTCTTCGTCGTCGTGCCGTTTGCGGAGAGTGCTGAAAAGGGATAACATCATCTCAGTGAACAGCATCCATGCGACGGATCTCATGCAATTGTTGCGACCCGCATCTCTTTTCCCTTCGCTTCCGCCTGCAGCGAACTCTAAGCCATGAGACAGGCTGTCGAAGAAGGTTAAGGGTTTAGGGCGCCCGCAGAGTCCAACGCCAGTAAATTAAGCAGCTGCCTCGAATCATAGGGGTGGTTGTCAAAATTGTGGTCCCTCTTTGTGTCCCTGATATACTACGGCGCCTAATATTTAGGGTGCCCAAAAAGGGGTCGGCCACCAATTTTGACAACTGCCCATGGAGGCTTCCTCACTAGGTTATCGGGTATATTCCTTAGTAGTTAATAGGTTTTCGAGTCTCCGGATGTAGGGCCCTACAAGGGCCCTAGTTTAGAGGTTCTACTTAGCTCTATACAGCCCCCAGCCCCCAAACCATATAAAGCCCGAAGGCAAACCGTAAGCCTGAACTCATTGGCTTAGTATATCTCAATAGTAGAGTAGGTAGCATTTTGGGGCGAGTATATATAACCCAATGTAGGGGTTAAAGGATCACCTTCAGTTCCCCCAGGGCACTGCACATGTCAGAGGGTTTGTAGGGGGTGTTGTAGTGGCTCAGGATACCTGAACCCTGAAGTCCCTTAAAGGAACCCTGAAAGGTTGGAAGACAAAGCAGCCCGCGGCCCTAAATTCTAAACTCCTAAACCCTTGACCCTGAAACCCACACTCCTAAACTCCCTAAACCCCAAACTCCTAAACCCCAAGCCCAAATAATTACCAATATTATTCCTTAGGTTTCCTTTTGGTATAAGTATACCATAAAGGGGCTCAAAACCCTAATTATTCTAATCATTGTAGGACCCTAATTTGGATCGGTTATAGAGGAAGCCTTTAAAGGGAGCCCTAGTCTTTTTATAAAGGCCCCTATGTAATTAAAAAAACAAAGCAGGTGGGCCTCCCGCGCCCCTTGGAGAGTTCAAGGCGACGCGTCGAGAGGTTGAGGGACCCTAGGGTTCCAGCTTAATAGTAGGCCACTAACCACACATGGGTAGTTGTCAAAATTATGGCCCCTCTTTGCGTACCCTAAATATTAGGTGCCGTACTATAATCAGGACCCAAAAAAAGGACCCTAATTTTGACAACCACCCAAATAGTCGGCTACTCACCACATATTATTTACCCAAGTAACCGATTATTTAGGTTACTGGAGCCCCAGAAAGAGCTTCGGGGTAGGGTTCAGAGTTTAGAGTTTGGTTCCCAATAGCTCCTTCAAAGGAGTCAGCTTCCCAGAGACTCCAAAACCCCCCGAATAGGGTTTAGGGCTTAGTGTTTTTTTAGTTTAGGGAGACTCCAAAATCACCGGAAAAGGGTTTCCTTTAAAGTCTTTAACATAAGTGATCCATAGTAGGGTTTTGGGGTTCTTTAGGGTCTAGGGGTTTAGGGATTAGGGCTTTTTGGGGGTTTAGGGAGTTGGGGTTCTATATGGTTTAGAGGTTCAGGGTTTAGGGATTATAAGGTTCTATAGTATACCTAAAGGATCATGGGACTTAGTAGCTAGGGTTATAAATAAGGTAACTATATTTGTAACTCCAATTAGAGTACTTATAGCCTTACTTGCTAAGTCCCATTATCCTCCAAGAAGGGACCCCGGCCCCAGGGACTCCGAAATTCTCTATTCAAGGGATATACCTTTCATCATATTAGGGGCCCTATTCTAGTTTCAGGCATGTTCATTAATTTCAGGGTTTCAGGGTTTAGGATTTCAGGTTCAGGGTTTAGGGCTCAGGGTTTAGATTTTAAGTTCAGGGTTCAGGGTTTAGGGTTTAGGGTTCAGGGTTAGGGACGGTTATGGCCCAGAAGGAATGTGGCTTAAATCATAATGTCATAATATGAAGCCCCTTATAATTTAGGGTATACAGTAGGCGCCGGAAAGTTGGAAGGCGGCAATTGGAACGGTTGATGCGGCAACGGCATCTTCCAACTTTGGGTTTGACTTGGTCCCATCTTCCAACTTTAGGTCCCGGCGTTTGGACCGGTTGATGCGGTAAGGGTATCTTCCAACTTTCGGTTTGCGGGAAGCAGCTCCAGTAATGCAGAGAAATTGACCGCTCCAGTATGGTGCTGAGAGAGGGAAACGGCAATTACTACGACCACTCCAATATTGCAGAGAGAGAGAGAGAGAAACTGCAAGTACTGCGACCGCTCCAATATTGCAGAAAGAGAGAACCTGAAATTACTACGACCGCTCCAGTATTGCAGAGAGAGAGAGAGAGAGAAACTGCCAGTATTACGACCACTGCAGTATTGCAGAGAGAGAAAATCTGCAAATACTACGACCGCTCCAGTATTGCACAGCGAGAAAAACTGCAAATACTACGGCCACTCCATTTTTGCAGAGAAAGAAAACTGCCAATCTGAGGACCGCTCCAGTGTTGCACAATTACTACGACCGCTCCAATATTGCAGAAAGAGAGAGCCTGCAAATACCATGGCCGCTCCAGTATGGCAAAGGGAGAAAAACTGCAATTACTCCAGTACTGTAGAAAGAGACGGAGAAACTGCAATTAAATATTGGGTCTGCTAGGTCCCACCTTCCAACTTTAGGGCCCGGCATTTGGAGCGGTTCATGCGGTAATCAAAAGTTGGAAGGTTGCAAACTTGGAAGAATCCAAAGTTGGAAGATGTGTTTTATTCCAATTGTGGGGTGCTGCAATTTTGGGTGCGCGTCTTCCAACTTTGCGGCTGCCACCATATAGCTTAATTAAGGGGTAGTGGGCTCCCTGGGGGATTCCTGTATGTTGAAATTCCTTATATAACCTGCCCTCGGACGGTGCTGTGCTTGAACTACAGCTTGAACCAACCCAAAGTCCAAGTACCATTATAGTAGGTATTTGGGCCCCCAAAATCTATGCTGTACCATTACCTGGACCCTTTGGGCAAAAACCTGAAACCCTGAAAGGCCTAAACCCTCAAGCCCTAAAAAACCCTAACCGCCAAACCCTAAAACAACCTTAGAGATACCTTAACCTTAAAACCCTAAACCCACAAGCCCTAAAAACCCTGAAAGCCCGAAACGCCCTAACAACTAGAACCTACTATTTGCTTAAGAAACCCACCAAAAAATAAAAATAATAATCCCTATATTACCCCCATAAGGAATATATATATATATATATATATTTTTTTTTTATTTTTTGGGGTTCTTAAGCAAATAGTAGTAAAGATCCCTAAACCTTAAACCCTAACAGCCTAACAACTCTAACTCGACTGATCCGGGAGGCCCCGACTGGGCCAGCGCCTACGAGCCTCCAGGCCTTGAAACCGCCAGCTAGCATGGCGGAGGCGCCCAGGGGGGGGATTCCGGGTTTAGGGCTTTGGGTTTCGGGTTTGGGGGTTTAGGGCCTTGAGGGTTTAAGTTTTGGGGTTTTTGGTAGGGTTTAGAGTTTCTAGGGTTTTAGGGTTTAGGGCTTTTGGGGGTTAGAGCTATTCGGGTTGAGGGTGTTCGGGGGTGCAGGGTCTATGGCGAAGGCACAGTCCTCACTTTTGGGGGCAGGGGTGTAATTAGGGTTTAGGGTTTTGGGGCTATTGTGTTTCTTGGGCCTCAGGGTTCGGGGGTCTTCGTATTTTAGTCGTGCCCCCGGTTTCTGCAGGGTTTAGGGCTCCTTTTAAAAAGGATCTATAAGGGCTCCTTTAAAGGGATCTATAGGGCTTTAGGGATTTAGGGTTTAGGGTTCCTTGTTCCTCCAGCTCTGCCCCGCACCTTAAAACCTTGAACTCTAAGACTGAAGCCCTACATCCCCAGGACTCCCTGGACCAAAAACCCTGAATGCTAACCCTTAACTTTTTGGCTGCAAACTCAACTTTTCAACTTTTGGGGTTCTTATAAGGTAGTCGATTCTGAAAGTTTCAACTTTTATTTCCTTGGGTTTTGGGCCAGTGAGTTAACCCAAACCCGGACGGACCCTTGAGACCCAAAACTCCGAACTTGAGATGGACCAAGCCCTTGAACTCGGAATTGCAGCCGCGAAAAACGCAAGACCCTGCGTGGCCGTATGTAGCTTTTCACCTTTTTGGGGTACTATAACCCCTTACATAGCTTTAAAGGTTAACCTTTAGGTCCCCCCTCGATACTGGGTATCTAAGCCCGAGCTGACGAGGTTGCGGGTTAGTTTTTACCTGCCTGGATTTCGCTTCGGATGTAGTGTCTACTTCCCTAAACTAACAGGGAAGCCCACACGGAGTCTTTCCCAAAAGGCACAAGAAGTCAACAAGCCTACCTATATAGGTGTCCACGATGGCTTCGAGGAATGTAAAGGGCAGGTTGGATTAGGATGTGGGCTTTGGCGTTGAGTGGTTGAACCCTATTCTAATTCTTAAGGCCCCTACATTAGGGTACACCCTAACCTCCTTGTGCTTCGGCAGTTGAACGCCGATCCTTCTGCTCACAACAGTGCGCAGCCAAGTTCAGTGTTCCTGGCTTCCTGTGCCACAGGGTCCAAGTATCATTATGGTATACACTTATAGGGTATTTTGGGGGTCTAAGTATATACCATAATGGTGCTTGGACTCTTTGGGTGTGCCAAGATAGACGAGGGGCCTAGGGCCTCGGGAGTCCTGAAGCCAAAAGTTCTCTAAATGAGGGTTGCTTGTAGGGTCCGTTTTTGAAGGGTGCCGCACCATGCTTGGGACCTAAACTGGGACCTTACTTTTAGAGAGCTACCCGAAGCAGCTGAACTGGTCCAGGCCGGACCCACTTTAGTAAAACCCATAGAGTCATAGAGTTGGAAACCGGGTCAAGGCCAAATAGTGCTGGGATTACCTGTGCATTACTCCTATACCTAAGGATTGATGCTATTGGGTTTCCAACTTTTGGTCTTCTACTGCAAGTCTCCGCAATGCTTGGGTTCAGGGCTCATGCCCGGGCCCTTTCATAAAGAAACCGCAGGGATTGCCATAGGGGCCTAAATTATTACCAATACTATTTTGGTGGGTCCCTTATTGAAAGTATTAGTATATCATGTGCCAAAACCTGTTTCTGATTACCAAGGCGCCTATATTACACTATAACGGGGCTTTTAAGTTTTATTTGACACTGTTCGAAGAGAGCCGGCGTACTAATCAGGGATCTATGATATAGCAAGCTGGCCAAGCTTTGCCAAATTCTTGAGCCATCCAAAAACCCTAAGCCCTAAACCCCAACCTCTATACCCTAACCCCTAAACCCTAAGCCCAAACCCTATGAACCCTAAACCCTAAGCCCTGAGCTCAACTCAGCTTTAAAACAAAAACCCTAAACCCAAAGCTCAAGACTCAAAACCCCCCCAAGACCCCCCCCCCCCCCTATCCTCTAAACTTCTAAAGCCCTAAACCGTAAACCCTGAACCAAGCCCAAACCCCTAAACCCTGAACCCGAAACCCTAAGGCCAGAGCCCCAAACCCCAAACCCTAAACCCTAAACCAATCCCAAACCCCTAAACCCTAAACCCCTAAACCCTAAGCCCCAAAACCCTAAACCCTAAACCCTAAGCCCCAAAACCCTAAACCCCTAAACCCTGAGCCCCAAACCCTAAACCCCTAAACCCTGAGCCCCAAACCCTAAACCCCTAAACCCTAAGCCCCAAAACCCTAAACCCCTAAACCCTAAGCCCCAAAACCCTAAACCCCTAAACCCTGAGCCCCAAAACCCTAAACCCCTAAACCCTGAGCCCCTAAAACCCTAAACCCCTAAACCCTGAGCCCTAAAACCCTAAGCCCTGAGCCCTCCACTCCAAGGCGGATCCACCGTTCAGGACCAGGAGATCAAAGTTATCGACCCGAGGGGGCAATTGATCCTCGGCTCAAAAGGGGAAAAGGAGGGACCCTTAATGGGTCCCTGTAAAGGGATCTATAGGGATTCTATAAGGGTATAGGGTTTGGGGGTTGAGGGTGACCCCTACAGGGTTTAGGGTTTAGGGTGTAGGGCAACTGATCCTCGGCTCAAAGGGGAAAAGGAGGGACCCTTAATGGGTCCCTGTAAAGGGATCTATAGGGATTCTATAAGGGTATAGGGTTTGGGGGTTGAGGGTGACCCCTACAGGGTTTAGGGTTTAGGGTGTAGGGCAACTGATCCTCGGCTCAAAGGGGAAAAGGAGGGACCCTTAATGGGTCCCTGTAAAGGGATCTATAGGGATTCTATAAGGGTATAGGGTTTGGGGGTTGAGGGTGACCCCTACAGGGTTTAGGGTTTAGGGTGTAGGGCAACTGATCCTCGGCTCAAAAGGGGGAAAAGGAGGGACCCTTCATGGCCTTTGGGGATGCAGGAAGATCTCTAAGTTTCGGCTTCAGGGTTTGATACGTAGGGCTTAGAGGTCGGATTTCGCACTTATCAGAAGGGAAAAGGAGGGACCCTTAATGGGGACCCCTTACCCGATAATGGGGCTATATAATGGGCATATAATGGCTATATTATGGGTATATACCCAGGGGTCCTTCCTTGTACCCTTTGATCGGCAGAGCCTCTCAGTAGCTGAGTGGGGTTTAGGGTTTTGGCTTTAGGGTTGACGGTTTAGGTTTAGCGGTTTACGGTTTATAAACCCTAAACTACGGTTTCTAAACTAGGACCTGGAACTACGGTTTAACGACTAGGACCTGGACCAGGCAAAGGGTCCAAAGGACCCAATACTAAGGTCCTTAGGTTTCAGACAGTAATTACCTGGTGGGTCATACCCTACCCCTTTCTTTAGGGTATCTAGTTTTATGGCTAGGACCTCCTATATAGAAGAGTAGGTACCTTAAAAAACGGGTAGGGTATGAGCCTCTAGGTATGTAGGTTCCCATCTGGAAGAGTATATTATTATTAGGTAGTCGGACACTTCGGGTTAGTAGCTGAGTAGGGTTTAGCGATGTACGGTTTATAAACCCCAAAGCTACGGTTTATAAACCCTAAAACCTAAAACCTACCCTAAGGCTCAAAATGGCCCAAAAGCCTAACATAGTATGGTCTTTGGGCCCAAAAGCCTTAAAATATGAATTCTTAGAGCCTTAGGGCTAGTGTTTAGGGACCTTCATGACTCAACTATCGGGTCTTCGGGGGCAAGCCTTGAAAGACCGGCTCGATATATTCTGCCGATCGTCTCCATGCTGGCTCCGCTGTTGGGGTTTCCAAGGAGACTTTAGGTGGACCTCGATTTGCAGACTTCATCGGGTAGTTTCCGAAAGTTCAGGGGTACCTTATTTTGGGTCCGCATAATAAGGACCCTACTATTTTGAGTACTTTTTTAGGGGTCCCATCTTTTCGGCAACTCCCATCTGCAATCCTAGATCCGACTTGCAAAATGCCGAAGTTGCTATGACCCGACTTAACTCAACTCCCGAGGATGTTCAACTACCCTCGGTACTCGACCTTCGGAGAAGCACCTTTCTGTGCTTCCATCCAGGCATGCGTGGGTTGAGGGTTTTATTGAGGTTGCTTGCGGCGCGAGACTCTACACCCGAATATAAGCCCTAAACCCAAAGCCCCCAAAGCCCTAAAGCCTTAAACCCCGAAGCCTTAAAAGCATAAAGCCCTATAAACCCCTAAACCCTATATAATCCGAGGCTTGAAGATGAAAGTTGGGGGATGATTTCCAACCCCCCAAACAGCCCGATGGGCCCAAGCAATTTCTCGATACCCAGTTGCAAAGACATTCCCTCAGCTAAAGTATGTTATGTAGGGGTCACTTTGAGGCCAAAGTATATACTATATGGGCACATCTACCCTTATGGTGCAAATCATGGTATCACCTGAATCACCTGAAACCTAACGTCACTCCGAGCCTGATTCGCCGGCACTGACTCCCGAACCTAAACCCTCTCTACCAGCCCGCAAGTTCAGAGACTCCTTAAGCTCCAAAGATCCCCTAAAACGCAGGGTTCCTGCGAGCCTTTACACTCCTAAAGCCCCGTTCACCTGACCCCTAAACCCTGAACTCCTAAACCGATAAATCCTAAACCTTAAACTCAGTCAAGCGCAATCAGTGTCCTTCGTGCAATGGTTGAAGGCCAAGACATGGACCCCTCATCAACCAGGGTCGCGAACCAGATGCGCTCCTGATTCACCCCTGGGGCAGCCACTGCCCAACCCTAAGGGTCCAAAGTACCTATATAGTCGAATGTAGGGTTTCTATAGTAGGAATTACTATTATGATTTGGGGAAGTATCCCCCATAACAGTACCTAGGACCCTTCGGGCAAGCTGTCCTCACTCGAAGGGAGGTTGTCGGCAGTGGTCCTGGGGTCGCCCTCGCTCAAGCGGCCCACACAGGAAAAGCCTCCGCAGCGGCTTGCAAAGGACGCCTACTACAACCGGGCTTCTACAGGTGGACCACCCCCCGATCTACCCAGAGCCTCCAAAATCCCTTAATTAAGGAATATACCTTAAATTATAATAGGACCCCTTATTTGATTTAAGGTATATTCCTTAATTAAGGGGTTTTGGAGTCTCTGGGTACCAGCTGATGTGCCATTGGAGGGTCCAAGTGATCTACCGGCGACCACGGCAAGCCCGGCCTCCGGGCGCCGACGGGCTTTGCTTAGGATGCCCAGTGCTACCCTTATTTCCCTTTTTGTAGTCCTAGGTTCCTTATAAAGTTACCCAATTCCAGAAAAGGGAGGGGACTGAACAACTCAGAGGGGGGCTTTAAGGACGGCTTTCAGGGGGCTTTGAAGGGGGCTTGGTACTACCGTACTAAAGTCATCATTCAGGAGTGTTCATTGGATTTAGTTGTATGCATTCCAATCATGACTCTGTTGAGGATTCAGTTGAGGTTTCTGGTTTAGGGGTGATTTTAAGGTGTTGGCTTGCGGGTTTTTGCGCTAAGTCTTCGAGCTCACTTGGAGCTTGTGTTGTAGGGTTTCAGCATATTTGGTTGCTTCGGGCTTACCTTCAACCGCGTTTCTGGAGCTTGGTGTGTGGCCTGTAGCTGTTTGACGTCAAGAGTTTGTAGGGTCAGAGGCGCATTGTCGCGGCGCTGTTCCAACGGGTTGCAGGTTTTGAGATGCTGCGGTTAGAACTTGTTACTTCAGCTTCTCGCAGGATTTCCACTTGCTGAACAATGGGTTCAGGTCTTTCCATTTATTCCTGCTTTGTCTCTTCGACCCAACTCAGCTACCCAACGAGAGAGTAGGTACTTTCGAAACAAGCCCTCCAGGCAGACTTGCAGAAAGCGGGATTTCCCGCGCCCTCGCAAATTCAACAGCGACTCGCCGCGTCAAAGAGCCACATGGGGTAACTCTTTTTCTGAGTCTACTGCACGGGTTTCACTGTGCAGGAATTATAGGAACCAACTAAGTCTTCTATGCGGGTCTAGAGTCCAGGGCTTGCAGGGCTTCTGGGGTTTATGGGGTCTTGGGGGAGCTTCTGGCTGCGATTACATACGGTTTTGAGGGTTATACCTTTACACCTCGGGTACGATCCACCCTCAAGCCTGACATCCCAAGGACCCTGTGAGCCCCGTGAGACTCGGTGGTTTGAGATTCGGGGCTACCTGAGGACAGAAAACCCCTGCCTACTGTTTCGGTGGTCAGCCCTAAAATAGAGGGGTCGAAACCTACTTTGGACTAGGCCTGTGAAAAAGTAGGTCATCAGCCTTGCTAACCCCAAGGGTCCAAGGACCCAATAATCATATACTCTCCAAAATCCTAACCTACATAACTACTACCCTCAAACCGAGTACCTAATTATAGGGTCCCTTGGACCCTTGGGGTAACGGGACATCTCGTACCTGCATTGGCTGAACACTCAGCACTGGAGGAGTCTCTAGCCTTGCACCCCTATAGTCATAGTATAGTAATAGTAGTAATAGTAGTAATAGCATAGTAATAATAATAGTAGTAATAGTAGTAATAGTAGTAATAGTAGTAATAGGAAGGTTTGACGATGTAAGGTTCCAGGTGTGAAACTGAGAAAGCAGAAGCCGGGCAGGACAACATCCCATCACTTGAAAACCCACATGTCGGTCTTGGTCGCAGCTGGCCTAATGAACGTACTTAAGAGTGAATGTTTAGGGCGGCCAGCGGCTAAACCCTAAACCCTAAAAGTAGAGGGCACCCTGATTGTGACACCACGCTCTAATTCACTGCTCTCGAATGCCAAGGTATGCATGGCCCTTGGCAATGCAGGGTTCAGATGTCATCGGCGTCGCTGCAACTGGCAGCGGTAAGCACTTCGGCACAATTCGATGCCCCCTTAGTTAATAGCAACAGCAAGTATAATCACAGCGGTTGTAGCAATACTTGTAACTGATAGTGGTAACAACATTAATATCAGCGGGCCAGTTCGGACAGGGATCCCTGGATTCACGATGTAGGGTGACAAAGCCTAGACTTTCATTCCAGAGTTTGACCGACAACCTCCACTATCATGTACGATACTCTGACTCTAAATGGGTGGTTGTCAAAATTGTGGTCCCTCTTTGGGTCCTTAATCTACTACAGCACCTAATATTTAGGGTACCTAAAAGGAAACCCCAATTTTAATATTTGACAACCACCCAAATATCAGTTGTCAAGGACCAGAAGGCCTCTGTCAATGGTATTTTGGCTCCTGGTCGTGCTCGTGGTTTTGGAAACTTGAACTAAGGAAAACACCCCCAGAGCCTCCAAAGCCCCTTAATTAAGGAATATAGCTTAAACCATAATAGGATCCCTATTACAATTTAAGGTATATTCCCCAATTAAATGGTTTTGGAGGTTCTGGGCCCTAAGGGTCCATGTGCGCATACACAGTTGTATTTTTTGCTTTGGCCTGTATGGATTACATTACAGTAAGGCCAATGTGTATACTCCGTGAGCGGGCGGACCCCAATGCCCTAAACGGCCCAAAACCCTTCAAGGTCCCCTCTCGAATGGACCCTTAGCCCTGAACCCTTTATGGTACCCCTATAGAACCATGAAAGGTAAGCCCCAAGAGCACATGGATCCTTAGGGAAGTGCAAGACTCTCCACTCAGGGAGCACTCGACAAGGATCTGTCACTCCTTCTTCGCTCCGGGCATTCGTGTTTAGACCCTATATAAACCCTGAATCCTAATCTGACTCTAATGGCTTGAGGTTTTATGGGTTTACGGAGTTAAGGAAGCTTCGCAGGCCAGCAGCCGCTCAACCGGACAGCGTACAGGAACACCCAAAGCCCAAGCCAATTTTTCATTCGAAAAGCTTCCGACATCCCTGCAACGGACCCACGAAACCGCCAACCCGAAACCCCAACCCGTACAACCCCGACACCCTAATCCGCAAATAGCCTGCATTCCAAGCCCCGAGCCTTAAACATGTGAAAATCCGAGGACCCTAAAACCCCTTAGCTCTACTTGGGGGATCATGGGACTTAGTAAGTAAGGTTATAAGTACCCTACTTGGAGTGATAAGTATAGTTACTTTATCTATAACCCTGGCTGCTAAGTCTCATGATCCTCCAAGTAGAACCAATAATTCTTTAACAACCCAGGGCCCCAAACTCTAAACCGATCAAAAGAACGAAGGACCTAAACCCCAAACCGCCCTAAACCCTAAACCCCACTAAACACCAAACCAGGAGCCTTGTCCCTAAACCCACTAAACCCCAAACCAGGACCCTTGGCTTCCTGCTACCCGCCTTCCATTACCTGATCGAGAGACAGATCCGACCTGGAAACCCGCAGCTCCTGGTGATGGCTCCTCGGTTTAGGGTTTGGGGTTTAGGGTTTAGGGTCCTGGTTTCTGCAAGGGTTTTAGGGTTCCTTTACAGGGGTCCTTTAAGGGTTCCTTTAAAGGGGTCTATATGGCTAGTATAAGGGATCTATAAGGGTTTCCCAGAGCCTCCCAAACCCCTCAATTAAGGATTGAATATAGTTTAAATCATATTGGGGATCCTAAGACAATTTAAGGTGAATTCCTTAATTGAGGAGTGTTGGAGGGTTTTAGGGCTTGCGGCTTCAGCCTGTTCAGGTTTAGGATTTAGGGCAAATTTAGGGCTCCTTTTCGGATTTAGGGTTTCTTTGAATGGGGCCAAGAAGAATTATCTGGGGTTGAGGGTTGTGATTTTAGGGCGGCATAAGTAAGGTTTAGGGTTCAACCAATTTAGGTTTTGGGGTTTTGGGGTTTACGGCTTCTTGTTGCCTCGAGCTTTAGGTGTCTTTAAAGGGGTCTATACGTGTTCCATCTAGGGATAACGGTTTTGGGGTCCAACCTGCATGGTTCAAGCATCATAGATACATAGTTAATTAGAGGGGGATTGAGAGATGGAGAGATACACAGACAGATAGACCGACCGGTAGAACCATCTATATATATATATATATATAATAGAGAGGTAGACAGATAGATAGACAGACACAGATAAATAGATAGATGCATTGACAGTTTAAGCTTTAAGCAAGAGACTTTTAGTAGACAAGCCATTGTTGTGAGTTGTTGAGGTTCTGGGAAGTCTATGTAGCCTTTGAGGGCTTAGAGTATAAGGAACTGTCGGGAAGTTGAAGGTTTACCTGAAGAGTAGCCGCTGTAAGCCCAGGTCCGCACAGTGGTGGTGCTATAATCACATACCTGTTTTGAGAGTGGCTGTAGGTTCTGAATAACCAGCGGCATGCAGCAATAACATATTGCTTTTATATCGACAACATACTATATCCCGTAAACCCCAGCTACTTGTCCGGGCCCCATACTGGGGCAGAGGGCTTCGGATTCACATCCCAGACTGCTCGTCATTGAGGCTCCGACGCGTGAGCTTGCAGTGCAGATCGAGGAGGAAGCTGTGAAGTTTGGCAGGCGATCTTTGCTTCGACACTACTTTGGTTGGTCGGACCTGGGGGGACCCTAAACCCAAAACCGGTTAGTGTAGGTTTCGGTTTCCATCGCGACGGTCAGGTGTACCCTAACCCAGATATGGCCTACCTTAACCCTGAATAGCCTACCTTTTTAGGGCTCCTTATTATGATTTCCTGATAATAAGTCCTTAAAAAGTAGGTCAAGTAGGTTATTCCGGCTTGAGGTAAAGTTTAGGATGCGAACTTGGGTTCTCGCTGCAGTTCACTGGCTGTGCTTCGTTTTCATCGTGGTAACCCAGGAAGTCCTGAAGCCCAGAGTCGTCCAGCTATACACCCCAGACCCTAAAGCCGAAACTCCAGTGCGTCGCGACCCTAAGCCATCAGCCCCGAACCGTGAATCCTGAACATGAATCCCGGTAATCCGAGGCCTCTGCGCTAGTGGGGTTTAGGATCGAGAGTTCAGGGAGGCTTGGTGGCCACCACAACGGAAGAAATTCTTCGCTTATGAAGACTTATGACCTTCTTGCGAATCGTTTTAATTTGACATGCAGACCCAAATGCTTCATGCAAACCCTAAATTTCCCTGAACCCCAAGGGTCCAAGTACCTACTTAATTATTACCTATATTATTGTGGGTTTCCGTATTATGGTTATGGTAGAATATACCCCAAACCCTGTTCGAATTAGCAAGGCCCACATCTTATAGAACCCTACTATAGATCCCATATAGAGCCTTTTAAGGAACCCTTTAAACGGAGCCCTAGGCCCTCATGTATGTTCGAAGATGAAGGTCCAGCGGCCTCAAAACGTGCTGCTGCTACGGTGGAGCGCCCAAAGGCATCGCGAGCTGCCCACAGATTTCCTGTGTATAGATGTTATGCGGGGGCTTAGGGTTTAGGGTTTACTGTAGGGTTCCAATATGAAGGATACATACGGCTTCTTGCAGGTACTATAGGGCCTGAATCATGTCCAAGATTGGGTTTACGGCGATCTATCAGGATGCTTTAACGTGTCTACAAGATTCTATGAGGGTTCTTTCAGGTTCGGCAAATGTTCTATACGGGCAGGTTCTGTACAGGCTGTAGATTCGTATAGGCGTTTGTATAGTTTCCTCCCTTTGTTCTCTATACAATATAAGGATACTCGAATAAACCCGAAACCCTTTTTGAGAATTTTCAGGGCCCCTACTTTGACAACAAAACGCAAGGTTTCAGCGCAACAGCCTTGTATCAAAGGCTCAGCTTGTGTCCCTGATTTGCCCATCCCCAACTACCGTAGAGCACAACTTCTAAGCTGCCCCTGACTCTTGGTCTTGTGAACAGTCGAAGGGGTAGCACCAAGGGTCCGAGTACCTAATAATCATATACTCTCCAAAATCCCAACCTACATAACTTCTGCGGCCCAAAAGACAGAACCCTTATAGTAACCCTTTTAAAGGAACCTTATAGAACCCTTTAAAGGAACCCTCATTATGGGGTCCTTTGGACCCTCCCGTGCCCTGAAGACCAGAGCCGAAACACTACGAGCCATGGAACATGTCGTCGAATCCTCGTTTGGCGACCTGCTCTAAGGACTCAGAGTTTGAGGCCCTTTGGGCCTAAAGACCATGTTATGTAAGGCTTTTGGGCCATTTTGAGCCTTTGGGTAAACATAGCTGAGTATAGAGACCCTTAACACTTTCCTCGACCATGTCGGCTTTTTCTATCGGATGTAAGCTCTCCGCTCGCAACAAGTAATCCCCAGAACCGCAAACAACCCTCTATGCTTCTGAATCAGGAATTTGGGAACCCAGGTTCCTGAAGCCTCATTTGGGTTGTTGTCAAAATTAGGGTCCCTTTTTGGGTCCTTAAAATGGTACGGCACCTATTATAGAGTACCCAAAAAGGGACCATAATTTTGACAACTACTCATTTAGCTCCACGAAGGCCCACAGGCAGGGGCGCTAAGAGACGGAGTTCACGGAGTCATCGGCACCATGGCAGACAACTGCTTTTTCGGCAGGGCTTAGGGTTTTGGGTTTAGGGTTAGGGGTTTAGGGTTTAGGGTCCTGGGCGCGCTAATATTCCTGGACCCTTGAATCCCTTATAAGGGTCCAAACTACCTATATAGTAGAATGCAGGGTTTCTATAGTAGGAGTTACAGTATGATTTGGGGAAGTACTGATAGCAGTACCTAGGACCCTTTGGAATCTAGTACCTTCGTTCGTCTTGGAGAACCTATTTCATGTGATCCTTTAGTAGGAAAGTAAAGTAACCCAAAACTATACTACATTACAGGGGCGTATAGAGGGGCCTGCCTAAATAATTGCCAACACTATTTGGGGGCTCCTTATTGTTAGTATAGTACAATGGGCCCCAATACCCTACTCTAGTCATTAAGGCCTCTATATATATATATATATATATATATATATATATATATATATGTATTAGGTATAGTTTCTACAATATGGAACCTTGAGGCACCCTAAACAGTAGGATCCTTACTATATAAGGACCACAAAATCAGGTACCCCTAATTTTCGGAAACTCCCATATTAGGTCGTTTCTACAATATGGGAGGAGCAAGGTTTGCGATTGCATCAGGGCCCATACCGTTGATGATATAAATCCTGCATTACCTTAAGGACCCTAAACTACGGTTGATGATATAAATCCTGCATGACCCATAATAAGGAATATGCCATAATTCCCATAGTTTAGGGTCCTTAAGGTAATGCAGGATTTATATCATCAACCGTATGGGTAGTATGGTATATTCCAGAAAGGGTCCAAGTACCCAATAATCATATACTCTCCAACATCCTAACCTACATAACTACTAGCCTAAAACCGAATACCTAATTATTGGGTTCTTTGGACCCTTGGGGTTCCTTATTATCCCTAAGGGTCCAAAGTACCTATATAGTAGAATGTAGGGTTTCTATAGTAGGAATTACTACTATGATTTGGGGAAGTATTCCCCATAACAGTACCTAGGACCCTTTGGGTATGGGTAATGCAGGGTTTATAACATCAACCGTAGTGCCCGGAGCCGAGCCAGGGACCTCAAAGAAGCCATGCAGACGCAGAGCCCTGCAGCCCTAAATGGGGGTTTCCGAAATAAGGGGTATCCCATTTAGGGGTCCTTATAATATCCTATTATTTAAGGTACTATCTCAGGGTCCGCTATTTTCGGAACCATCAAATAACCTTAAACCCTGAACACTCTCTTAGAGGTACTGATACGCTAGAGCAGGCACGGTTCAGTTCCTGCGGTTCCAGGTTACTTTGTGTACTTACTTGTAGCAGATTAGGGTATACGAAGTCCGTCAACTGGATCCCAAACCCCCAGAAAATACAAGTTTCAAAAGGGTATTAAGGGGTGTCTAAAAAAAAAAGAATGACTCATGTTTCCTGTACGCTCACGATGAATGAGGAGCATGCCGCAGAAGCGGTGCTCGGTTTTCTATTTAGCTTCCTTCGTTGTGAACTCCAGAAATTTACAAAACAGCTTCTGAAATCCTAAACCATAAACCCTAAGATTCTGAAACTCGAGCATACGTATGGGGAATTAAACCCTAAACCCTAAACCCCTAAACCCTAAACCCTGAACCCTAAATTGCACGACCTTGAGGCAGCCAGCTTTTTCAGGGCAGCCGTAATTGGGTAAGTAGAGCACCTGCACTAAGGAGGAAACCCCAGAGCCTTAAGACCTACATCCCGCTACAACCTAGGCCCTAAGCTTAAGCCGTAAGCTTGCCCTAATGCTAACTGCATATCTAGTGTGAGCGGCTTCGCTACGATGTTCTGTGCGTCCTTGCCCGGAGAGATTTGATGAGTGTGATCGTCGAAGATGAAGGCATACCGGCGGTATTCTGAACGATTATGTTTTCAATGCCACGCACAATCCCAACGTAAGCTTGTCTAGCCAGGTTAGCTGTCCTTCACAGATCTCTAGGCTTAACTGCCGGTGCATCTGCGATTTAGGCGAGCGTGACGGGTTCCTTAATAGGGTTTTTGTTCCTGTTGTCTGCAGATCCTTTGTCAGCTATGCCCTAAACCCTAAACCCTAAACCCTAAACCCTAAACCTATGGCCTTCAAGGTTCTGAGGCATTGGGCTGAGGCTTCGTGGCTTTGGGTTTAGGGTTTAGGGTTTAGGGTTTTAGGGTTTAGGGTTTAGGGTTTAGGGTTTAGACTGGGCAAAGGGATTTCGATCTTGCTGCCCCAAAGAGGCCGTCATAGAGCAAGAGTGTAGACATCGTTCCTGTCGGTTCGTTGGTTAATTATTCAGAACCCAGAACCCAGTTATGTAGCCGCCAAAGGATCTAGAGGATCTAAGCTGACAGATAGAGCGTTTGAGCAGCACAATATCTTTGCAACTTATGATGCGCCGGCTGCTAGGATCTTAAAAAAGGGTATGAAATCCGAAGACCTGCTCAACATCAGTTCCCAAGGAACTCCGGGGCGAATCAACGACTTCATCGAGGGCAACCAGCCCCTCTTCCGTTTCAGGTTTAAGGTTTAGGGGTTTAGGGTTCAGGGGTTTGGTGTTTCGGGTTTAGGGTTTAGGAACGCAGCCCCAGTTCCGCGTTGATCAATTTGGGTCACCGAAACCCTGCGGCCCGAAACCCCGGGTCCTGAAGCATTATAGTGAACCCCAGAAAGTTGGAACATGGATTTAGGAGGATCAGTGCTAGGATTCCCTATACTTTGCTTTAAGGGCAAGAGGCTAATGATGTTCCAACTTTCTGGCTTGTACTGGATGTTTAGAGGTGGCCATAGGCCCCAAAGTAGTTCCTTTTGGGGATTACCTTATAGGATTCTAAATACGAATCCCCAAAAAGGAACTACTTTGGGACCTTAGGGTAAACTGACGGAGCCCTACATCTCTGAAGCCTCAAACCAAGCGGGTCGATGGCTGAGGAGTTTCCCAGGGTAAAGTACAGGTTTACCGACGGGTCTAAGCGACTCTGTCAGGTGTATTAGAGGCGTTTCAAGCGTTTTTTGATTGTACAGGGCTTTGAACAGGGTATCCCCTAAACCCCTAAACCCTAAACCTCTAAACCCAGAATCCCTAAATCCTAAACCGTATTTCGGGCTTAGGATTTAAGACCCGGCTTCGGGAGCAGGGGCTTTTGACCGCCTCTTGCTGGGCAAGGCCAGAGGGTCCAACGGTTGATGATACTTAGGGGTACTTAAAAAAAACAATTTTCAGTTTGGGGTTATTCTAATCCCTAAGAAACAGCTATAATTATAATTTTTGCTAGGGTTCTAAGCTCAGTATAGATTACCCATAAGAAGGAATACCATAATTCGCGTAGCCTTCATCAAGGTAATGCAGGAGTTTTATCATCAACCGAAGCACCTAAATAATAGGGGGTTTTCGGTCCCAACATCCATTCTCTGAAAGGCTTTTGGACCTTGAAACCCCACTATTTGGGCACTTGGACCCTTAGGGTCGGGTATTGTTTAACATGAGCCATAATGATGCACAAGTTTGGGGACTGTTGAAATCAACACCCAGTTGCTTATTCCTGGGCATGCTGGTGCGCAGTTGGACAGGATCGGATTGAAGTGCTCTCTGCTGGACTAGCTGCTGCTACTTCAGTAGTGCGGCCCTGACGAGTTAGAAATGTTATTCCAAAGAGCTCCTTCATTACAGTATACTATCATATGCACCCGAACCCTACTGTAATTATCAAGGCCCCTGCAGTACCCAGATGGTGCATCCAGAAGGTTGAAACCAAGACCCATGCCTGGGACTTTCCAGAAAGCTCCACCCTGCAAGGTACCATGGCTTGGCGTTTGTTGTTTAGGGTTGGTAGGGTTTAGAGTTTAGGGTTATGGGCCTTCGCATCCGTGGTGCGAGCCTCCCCAAATCCTTCGTTCTGCAAGCAGTGTGAGTCAGGTTGGAGCTGAGGGACGTCTGCAAGCTCGTTCTTGATGAGGCGGACCGTATGCTGGACATGGGCACTTTGTCCGAAAAATCCAAAGCTGCTGCTGTTCACATGTTTTTTTGGTGTGTGTAAGATTCGTTGAATCTGTCTACGCCGTAAACAAGTAGATGCTAGGATTTACTAGATTCCCGACAAACCGAATGTGACCCCTTCTAACAAAAGCCGCTTACTATGAATCTGATGTACGCAAAGTGCCAGGACCGAACCGAAAGCTCCTGAGACCATATGTCTAAGACATTTACAGGTGGGTAGTTATAAGGTGGGTAGTTTCCCATAAGCTTCAGATACCACTCCTATAAGGTAAAGGGGGTCTTATGGGAGTACTATGGAAGAGGAACTACCTGCCTGTAATGGGCTTCTAATGTAACCTGAAAGCCCCAACCAGTCAACCCTAAACCCAAGGGGTTAGGGGTTTAGGGGTTAGTGGTTTAGAATTCAGGGGTTAGGGGTTGAGGGTCCGAAGGACATAATAATTAGGTACTCGGTTTACTCGGTTTTAGGATAGTAGTTATGCAGGTTAGGATTTTTGGAGAGTGTATGATTATTAGGTAGTTGGACCCTGGGGGTGACCAACTTTAAAATGTAAAGCCGAAAGGTGAAGCCCTGTGAACCCTCAACCCCCCGAGCCTTCCCGGATCATGCTTACTGAATATGTAGGAGTGTTCGCAAGTAGGAGTACTTTCTTTTGGTGTCCTTATAATGAGGATCCTACTATTTGTGCTACTACATTAGGGTCCCCATTTTCGGAAAGTCGCATATGGGTACTAATGAATGGGGCAGATCGGGATTCTCGAGACTCTACACTCCTAAACTCTCAAGCCCGAGACTACTTAAGCCCAAACCCCACACTCCCAACACCCTAAACTCCCAAACTGCCACAGACAAGCTCTAAATCTCAAATACCCCGAATCCGCTATGCCCATGACCCGCACTCCTCAAAGCCCTCAGCCCTGCACCCGAAACCCCTAGCTTGAAAGCAAAACTGCAAAATGAAAGGGTTTAGGGTTTAGAAGAGAGCGCGAGAGAGAGAGAGAGAGAGAGAGAGAGAGAGAGAGAGATTGAGAGAGACAGAGAGAGATAGAGAGAGACAAGCGCCCGCCAGCCCCTTTATAGCAACCTCTAACAGAACCCGAAAGGAACCCTGCAAGCAACACTTAAAGTAACCCTAAAGCCTAAAGCCCCTAAACCCTAAACTCTAAAACCTAAACCTTAACAGGAACCCACAAATCCTTCTTCATAGCCGAGGTTTTGAGCCACAGATTCGAAAAGTCTTGGCCAGGACGGTTTTTGGGTCTTGGTCGTAGGCATTTAGGATTTAGGGGTTAGGGTTTTTGGGTTCAGGGATTTAGGGACATTTAGGGAGTTAAGGGTCTAGGGTGTAGGGGTTTGGGGGTTTCGGGGTTGAGGGGTGCGGGGGGATAGGGGCGGGATAGGGGCGGCGTTGAGGGTCTAGGCTTTTGGGTTTAGGACCAGGCTTTTTGTGTTTTCCAAGTGCCATCTCAAGGGACACTCCTACAAAGTCTTCATGCTCCTCCAGAATCCGCCTCAATATTCGAAAAAAGAACGCATCGACCTTAGTCGTCAAAACGAACCCTAGATCCTAACCTCACGAGACCCAGCGTCCCACGGCAGGATCACCAACCCATATCGCCACACGATGTTCTTCACCGTCACCTGGCTGCAGGTTCGTTCAGGTTTAGGCCGTTTATGGTTAAACGAATCTACGGGACGTTCTGGGGAGACATGCGACTACACAGGGGCTTACAGTAGAAGCCAGAAAGTTGGAATATCATTATCGTAACCCCTTTAAGGTAAATTATAGGGGATCCTACCATTAATCCATATTCCAACTTTCTGGAGTTCCCTTTATGTCGGAGGGATTTGGGTTTACTTGGAGGTTCAGGAGACTCAGAACCCAGGACTGGCTGTGAGCTTAACATGTTCATGTGGTACCTAATTTGGGGGTCCTTGTAATAAGGGTCCTATCATTTAGGGTACTACATGAGGGTCCCCTATTTTCGGAAACCCGCATGTGTCATCTAAGTATAGGTTTTGGATGTTACACCAAGTCGTACTCTTACCCTCTAAACTCCCAAAGGCTCCATGTACCCATATAGTAGGTACTTAGGCCTTAAAGTACCCATATAGTGACACCATTAAGGCCTAAGTACCTACTATATGGGTACATGGAGCCTTAGGGACTGTCTTGTGGGAGCCTTAGGGCAAAGGGTCGAGCCACTGCGTTACCCGAGGTATAAGTCTACTTGCATGCCTGACCTGTAGACTAGGTCCTCTAAATCAACGCTTAAAGAACCCTCATAGGAACTCTTGCAGAACTCTATAAAGGAACCCTGTAAGTACAGTTCCTTTGGGCCTGCTATTAGATAATGCTCCTGGGGGTCTCACATATCACAGAGGTACAAGTTTTGACCACCCGCCCCACAGCGTTGTTCCAACCATCCAGGCCCAGATATTGCGTGTTATCAACTTGCCCTGTTTTGGCTGGCTGGCACCACTCTAATCCCCATCCCCGCCCAAAGCCCCCACGACTTCACCCCCAACCCTATGGCCCTAAATTGAAACCCTACAGTACCCTGCAGTTGGGCTTTGTGTTGGGCACGTGCCCGGAACGTGCTTCTGTATAACTTACCAGTCGCCGTCATACGCTCCATCACTATGGCGTACGATGCCCAGGGGCGCAATCTCACTCTCTTGCAGAAGGAGCTGCTTCGCAGACGAGCTGTGCTGATCCTCCGTCGTCGTCGATTCGTCCACTCACTCTGCAGTATATTCTCGGTGGATTTTTATGGCAGTGTGGCTTGACGAACAAGGGGACTATGGCAACTTGAAGACCAAACACGTGCAAGACCCTGATTGGTATATACTGGGACGCTCCATAAATACACCCTGTAAGCCCTACACCTGACCCCTACCTAAAACCCTAATTAAACCCTAAACACCAAACGCCGTGAAGCCCTTGCGGGTGGTGGGACCCCTGACGGTTTTGCAGGGTACATGGCAGCTCGAGCCCCAACGCAAGCCTACGGTTGAGACCTTTGTTGTTCGACCGTAGGGTCTGAGGGTTCAGGTTCGAACACCGGGTTCAGGGTTTGGCTAGAGGCCTTGATATTTAAGGGCGTTGCAACGGCGGTTCTATTTAGGTAATTAGCGGTCTTTCATGTGTCATCTACGGACATCTTAATAACTCGAACAGTGTTTTGGGATGTAGTATACTCTAGTGCAATTATACAGGGTTTTCAGGGGATAGTACTATTCAGTACTACTCTACTATTGTATAACCATCAGACCTATGTGTCCGTATGTTCATCTCAACCCCGCGAGTATACTTACAGCAACCCCAAACTCTGAGCATGAAAATCCGAAACCCTATCGTCGGCCCTGGAACAAGCCCCAGCCCCCAAGCCCTATACCCCGAACCCGAACCCCTTCAATGAACCGCAGGAGGCTGTACAGAAGTCCTACAGTGAATCTCAGAAAGTTGGAACATGGGTTTGGGATGAATACTGCTGGGATCCCCTATACTTTGCCTTAAGGGCATGGGGATAATGATGTTCCAACTTTCTGGCTTCTGCTGTAAAACCCTGAAACCTGAAGGAAACCTCAGGGGAGCCCTCAAGCCCAGGCCACATGGCCGATGAACATCCGAAGACTTGCAGCAGAGTTTCTACGAAATCCTGCGCCTCGCTCTGCAGCTGTGGGATGTACCTTTACAGTAAATAGATACTTAAGCCTTAAAGGGGTCCCTATATACCGGTGGGGCAAGGGTTACTGTTTTTTTGCAGTTCCGAGCAAGCTTGTGAGTTGGAGTTCGGCCGTTTAGGGTGGGTTTTTGTTGCTCCAGGGTCTAGTTACTAGTTCCCAAGTGTTTGCAAGAGTATTGTCGTATGCCCTATATCATGGGTGTGTCATAAATTCGGAAGTGCGAACAATCAGTCTCCTGCAGCATGTCTGGCATTTGCATCTGGCAATGGGATATGGTCCAGGGCTCGGAGTAAATAGCAATAGTAGCACCCTTATAGTCGCTGTATGATTCTGCTAAAGATGTGCCACTACTGTTGATGGTATAAATCCTGCATTACCTTCAGGACCCTAAACTATATGGGAATTATGGTATATTCCTTGTTATGGGTCATGCAGGATTCATATCATCAACCGTGGTTCATCAGGCCCCATATCAAAGCCAATAAGAACCTTGCTAAACCCATGTCAACCGTACACACTATACCCTAAGGCCCTAAAGTATTTCCTTGGGGGGGTTCATTTCTAAAATCCTATTAGGTAATCCCAAAAAGGAAGTACTTTGGGGCTATCCGTAATGACCCCTAGGTGTTTTTGGTTGCGGGTGTCGCATTTCTATAGAAAAAGGATCCAGCTGGATCGTCAATGTCTTACAGGACCAAGGTTTACGATATCGGGTTTGAGGGATTTATGCAGGCTTTAGGGTTCTGGATCGGCATTTCGGGTTTAGAAGTTTCTTTCTTGGTAGTTTGCTGAGGTAGTACTTGGAGGATCATGGGACTGAGTTAGTAAGGTTATAAGTACCCTAATTGGAGTTATAAAGTTATAAGTATAGTTACCTCATTTATAACCCTAGTTACTAAGTCCCATGATCCTCCAAGTAAGGGTTTGCAAATCGAAGGTACTGTGCTTAGAGCCCACGGGTAGTGTGCATGGATTTTGCTGTACTCCACTGCGGTGTTCTCGCATGAGGGTCTAGAGTTTAGGGTCTCAGGATGTCAGGACATTTTTACAACTCCCAAACACCTGAAACCCCGAAAGTCCTGTCATCCGTGCACGCAACCAAGATCCAGATTCAGATCGGAAATCGAGATGAGCTGAAGGGCAACCAGGCCAGGGGTGAGCCCAGCCCCAACCCGATAGTCTAATTGTTAAGGCCGCTCATAGGTAGGTACTCGAGGGCCAACGCACATCCTACTTTCACGCTTAGGCAGAGTCTAGGCTGTGCACAGTAGGTCCGACATCCGGACCGCTACACCGTAAACATGGAATCCTACACACTCGTAACCTTCTAGCTAGAGCTTCCGGGCAAAAGACTGCTGGTTTCGGAGGAGTTGGGTCGGCTATTTGGTTGGTGGCTTGCGGCATGGAAAGGTAGTCCGATTACAGGTACTCCCAGGGAAGCAAACACCACCATTGCGATTGTCAACATATACTTGGCTCGACTCACTCCATAATCCATTATTGTACTTAGATTGATGCCCTGCGCCTCGGCAGAAGTATTCCGGTTTCGACACCGATGAGGTAGACTGCTTGTGTTCGAGTACTTAGTTGTCAGGGGTCGTTGTCCGCATCGTCATGGTGACATTCGGACCACGTGAAGGGCTTTCGAAAATGCTCGAACTCACACAACTGATGCAGAGGTTGTGATCACGTGAACCGCAGACAATCGAAATTTAGGTCCGGATAACCCCTCAAAGCCAAGACCCGTTGACAGACCCAGTGCAGCAAGGGTTGGCGGCATCCCATCGCAGGATATCGTGCAGATTGTGACGCCTTGCACGATGCACAACAAGCAGCTGGTCCTTTCGAGTTCTTGATGGGGAGCATCACTAAGACTCCAGGTAGCCCAAAGTAGGTACTATCTTTTAACGTTAGAGGCCAAATTAGGTACTATTTGTATACCTGCAGTCTTAGGGAACGAAATGTTAGGGTCTAAGGCATGGCAGGAAAGGAGGATGAGACTAAGGTCATCATGAGGATGACGTTGAGGTTTACCATGATTCTATGATGGTGGGCAATACGGAGCTGCTGATAATGATGACTATGATGAAGATGATGATGACGGTGGTGGTGCTGATGTTGGTGCCTATTTGAGATGGTGCGGGCAGTTTCGCTCAGGGTTCAAGTACCTAATATCTTCATAACCATGAACTCCCCGATACAATGCTGACCCAAAGCTACCACGACCTTAAACTAAACCCACACACCTTTCTTCGTCACTTACTGTGGGCCACCGGGTTGGCAGTAAGTACATGATTTGATTTGATGACCTGCTCAAGCTGTTTGTAGACAACACTCTGGCCAGAGATGTTGAGCTGCAGGCCCTACACGCTAAACCAGACATCGCAAGCCTTCAACTCTATAGTTGATCCTGAAACCCCTAGACAATGACGTAAAACCCCAAACCCTATATACTGCAACCCCATTCCGAGCACAGTAAGATCCGTGTAACACAAGGAACCAGCTGCTACTGCAAGTTCTGGCGCAATCAGGCGTCTTGGCTCTGACAGTTTCTTGACGCTCGGGCACTTATGTTCGAGATGGGGGTTAACCCTAAACCCTAAACCGGTTTAGGGTTTAGGGTTTCATTTTGGTTTAGGGTTTCGGGTTTAAACCCTAAGCCCTAAACCCCAAAATGAATCCCAGCTATAGTCTCCATCCCCATTGCAGATTTTGTTGATGATCCAAGTTCCAATCTTAGCGAAACCTACGCAAGAAAAAACAGTTGCCCAAAAAAGTGCTGCAATGGAGACTGCAGGTAAACTCCCCATACCTTACCTAGGCCCTCCATCTACCCTCTATTAGACCCTAAATGCCCCTTATTTGGGGCCATATACCCCTTTTTGAGGGTGCAAGCAGGGTCCTGGTAAATCCTAAACCTGAAACCCATAAACCGTCAGCCTGAGCTCGAAGCCTTCCACTATAGGATCCTTAAGGGAGGGTGGTTCAAGGGGGGAGGGTATAAGGAACCCTTAGGGGACTGTAAGGGAACCTTAGGGAGTGCTAGGGAGGATTAGGGATCACTAGGCTATATACCCCCCTTGGATCCCCCTCCCTTACCCTAAGGGTCCAAAGTACCTATATAGTAGAATGTAGGGTTTCTATAGTAGGAATTACTATTATGATTTGGGGAAGTATCCCCCATAACAGTACCTAGGACCCTTTGGGTTAAGGATACTACAATTCCAGGAAACCGGGAACCTTTGGGCTTTACCCAGAGGCCCCAAAGAAGTTCCTTTTTTGGGGGTTCATATTTGGAATCCTAGAAGGTAATCCCAAATTGGAGCTACTATGGGGCCTATAGGTAATGGTTAGGGTTTCGTGTTGAGGGGTTAAGGGGGGTTAAGGAGCCAAGGGGTTACGAGGTTCAGGGGTTTAGGTTTGTTTCTCCAGCCACTGCGCTGCAGAGAACGGGCTTTACAAGGTCGTCTTTCTGGGCTGCCGGCTGAGACCCCAAACCCTACGCTAAACCTGAACCCTAAACCCTAAGCCCTCAATACTGAGAGCCCGAAGTCGCAAGAAGGCCCAAGCGCTCTGAACTTCCAAAGAAACCTGAACTATTTTCAGTGTTATTCCTTATTCATTATTCAGGTTCCTGATATTTACAATTCTAGTATAATATAGCTCACAACCTCATTGTTGAGGCCCCTATATAACTCGCGCGAAGAGACAAGTCGAGGCGTCGGAGATCGTGGCAACAAGGATGCCAAGGCGATCATCTTCTGCTCTACGAAGCGCATGCCGGGGGCCCCTGTCCAACAGACCAGGACCAGCTACTATTTGCTTAAGAAACCACAAAAAATGAAAAATATGTTCCTTATGGGGGGTAATATAGGGATTTTTATTTTTTGGGGGTTTGTTAAGCAAATAGTAGCCAGAGGTTGCGGGTTAGGATGGTTTTGGGTTTATGGGCCTTTAGGCCTTTACGGGGCGATTAGGATGTTTTAGGATCATTTTGCTGTTGAGAGTTTGGGAAGCACGTGTCAGGGTCCTTGAGAGGGCTTGTAAAACTGGTACTTGGTTGGCCGAGCCTTTGCAGACACAAACTTCATTTACGATGTACGACCACTATGGCCTCGGGGTAAGCGACCAGTACTGGTACCGGGGAGAACGTATCCTTACAGGGCAACTTTTGGCCATTGATTGCGCCGGGCGTAACTGTAATACATACCTTGAATCATATTGAAATAGAAACCCTGGTATCGCTTAAGGTATACCTATAGTCTCCATTGCAGTTCCTTTTTTGGTTTAACCAATTTTATATTATCAGGGATCCTAAAAGGTTACCCCAAAAAGGAACTACAATGGAGACCATAGGTAGTCCTCATAATTGAGGAGTTTTGGAGTCTCTGGGTACATGGGTGGGGATGCAATATCCTATGGATGTGAGGGATTTCCCTTACATAGTGGCGTCATAGCTTGAGGCTACAGGTAAACCCTAAACCCAATTAATTAAACCCCTCAAAATGCGAGCCTTTGTCGCCTTAGGGTTCTGATTTTGCGTGTAGTTGCCGCCCAGGTGCGACCAGCTGCAGCGTGATCTGCAACGTGCTGGCGTGCCATGCGCCTCAGCAAAGCAGTACGCACCATTGATCCGAAACCTTCGAACGTTGCTCCTTGCATGCTAAGTTGCCGGTGCTCGGCTTGAAAGCGATATTGACTTGTTGCCCTACCCATAGACCCCATAGTAGTTCCTTTTTAGGACTACCTTACAGGGTTCTAAATATGAACCCCCAAAAAGGAACTGCTATGGGGCTTATGGGTAAGCCTGCTGAGTTGCTGCACTGTTTTTCTTAGGTTTCTGGGACTGTGGATCTGGGATTGATCTTTGGGGAAAAGGAGGGACCCTTAATGGGGACCCCTAGCCTACAATGGGCTATATAATGGGGCTATATTAAGGGTATATACCTAGGGGTCCTTATTAAGGGTCCCTCCTTTTACCCTTGGAATTGAGGCCTGGAAGTTCGTAAAGGAAGTCACAGTTGCCCTAGTGACCCCAGTGTTCCATGTGCCTGTATTGTATACTTCGGGCTGAAAATCAAAGTACCTATATAGGAGCCCCCTTAAGCCTTCTACCTGTGTACTATATGACGCCTTTGAGCAAACATGTAAAGGTTTACTACCATACAGTTGAGGCGTACTAGTCCTCAGGGAGACACGAGCTCGTGCAGGGCTCGATCTTATCTCTCCTATACTCCGAGGCCCACCAGAACCGTCAACTACGGGCACATGGTCCTAAAATGTCGCAAAGAGTACAGTCGAGTGCACGGAGGGTCTAAGCATATTGCGATGGTTCAGGGGCGCCTTTTAGCCTTTGTGCCGTCGAGGTGCAGCCATCCACGGCGACAAGGGCCAGCGTGAGCGTGAGCATGCCGCTCGCCTCGACTTCCCACTTTGATCCATCAACTTAGTTGTGGTCCAGGGTTGCCGGTTTGGGTAAGGGTTCTTAAAGGGCTCCTTAAAGGGAGCTATAGGGTTCTTTAAAGGGATCTATAGGGTTTAGGGTTTAGGGTACTACTTGGAGAATCATGGGACTTAGTAAGTAAGGTTATAAGTACCCTAATTGGAGTTATAAGTATAGTTACCTCATTTATAACCCTTGTTACTAAGTCCCATGATCCTCCAAATAGGGTTGCAGGTTAGGGTATGGCGGTTTCGGGGTTTAGGTGTTGAGGGATTTAGGTTTTCGGATGCATAGGGCCTAGCGTTGCAGGTTTGGGTATAGCGGTCGAATTGGGTGTGGGACAGTGTAGGTGTTGACATACCATCAAAATACGCTGCACCACGGCATGCATAGGATAGCTCGTTTAAGGGTTCAAGTCCACTTAGTCCAAGTTGTGTATTTACTAGTCCAGGCCTACCGAACCAAGGGAAGCAAGGGCACCAGCTTCCTCGAAAAGGACCCCAGTTTTTGGGCTCATTGAGCTAAAGCTTGAAAACCCCAAACCCTAACGACCCTTAACTTAACCTAGATCCTATATTGGCTTTCTATCAAATGCAGCTGTGATTTGTGCAGACTTCCATCTTACCCCGCCTCGCGTCCCACAAAATTCTGGCGAACTGCCGTAAAAAATAGATTAATTACAGTGCATTCCCACTCTTCCCCTTCCACCCCCCTATTGCCATAAACCCGAACTCGAAGTGCTAAACCCTAGACCCCAAACCCCTTCCCCCACGGCTCAAAACAAGACATGCTGCCCAGGCTCTCGGGGAATTGATGCTTGCGCCGCAATTTTTGAAGGGACGGTCGGCCATTATCCGATTCGGTTGGGGTTTAGGGGTTTGGGGTTGAGGGGTTTAGGGTATAGGCTGTTTAGAGTCATCATATCAGCCTGTGAGCAGTAATCGGAAACCTTAAAGGGAGTCTCGGCTTCGGTATGAAGGGGTACTTACAGGCCAGGATAAGCCAGAACTATTCGTCAAGCTTCCGTGGCATAACCTTACTTAGCCAACTGGAGAACTTTAAACTTTTTTGCTTTATGTAGTTGGTCTATCTTACAAAGTCTGAACTTTTTTGGGGCCTGGTTATTGGAGAAGAGAGTAACATAGGTACAGTGCAATATCCCCCAAACTCGATTACAACTGTTAAGGCCCCTTAGTTTGTGGGCTTAGGGTTTAGGGTTTAGGGGTTTAGGGGTTTAGGGTTTAGGGTTTAGGGTTTAGGGGTTTAGGGTTTAGGGGTTTAGGGGTTTAGGGGTTTAGGGTTTAGGGTTTAGGGTTTAGGGGTTTAGGGTTTAGGGGTTTAGGGGTTTAGGGTTTAGGGTTTAGGGTTCTATTCAAGCCAAAAATTAGGACAAGGGGTTACCTATTCTTAGGGAGCTACTGAGGATCCTAGTATATGTACATTGGCCTTAACCTTGACAACTGAATAGGGCTCCTTTGCGGATTCCTTTCGTGGTTTTTCTGAGGGCTACTATGCGGGTTGAGTACGGGGCCTGAATCACGAGAGCTTCTTAATCGGTTAGTATTTGGCACACTATTGATGTTTTCAGACCTGCTTATTCCCACGCGGAACCCTAAACCCTAAACCTCAGGGCTTGCGAAGGTGAACAGGGGGTTCGGGCAGCGCCGGGTGGTAGCATGTGGGTGGTTGTCAAAATTAGGGTCCCTTTCTGGTTACCCTGTTTAGGGTGCAGGGTTTAGGGTTCTAAATAATAGGTGACGTGTTATAATAGGGACCCAGAAAGGGACCATAATTTTGACAACCACCCATGTGGGTTACTTACATGATCAGCGGACTTAGGCCCTAGTGTCGCCGCCCTAGTTCTAGGCTTTAACCCCTTCAGCCCTAACCTCACGACCAAGGAAGTCTGGTGCAATGAAGCTCATCTGCGCGACGGACGTTGCAGCACGGGGTATCGACATTAAAGGCGGGGCTCTGACTATGGGTATTCGTAAAGATGGTTTGTCCGGTCTGTGGTACTAGGTTATGGTAAGTTATGGTCTGAGTCTAGTCTGTGATCTCAAGGGTTAGAACCAAACCCTCAAGCGTGACAAATCTGAACGAAGATGATGCTTTAGAGAATGAATGTCGGACATGTACCGGCCTAACAACAATATCCCGTTCTGGTATCACAACATTTTTCTAAGTTTTCTAAGCTTAAACAAAGCCGTGTTCCAATGAGTTAATTATCAAGACTGGTTTGAGTTGTTGGAAAATGTGACATGTTGAGGCTTCTACGCGGCCTGTTGAGTCACCCAAAGGGTCCTAGGTACTGTTATGGGGGATACGTCCCCAAATCATAATAGTAATTCCTTCTATAGAAACCCTACCTACATTCTACTATATACGTACTTTGGACCCTTAGGGTTAGTACCGCATGTTTGAGAATCAGATGCCGCTGTGACAAGGGTAGGTTCCAACCTCTACTTGGCGGTTCATGGGACTTATAGTAAGTACAGTTATAAGTACCTCAATTGGGGTCATAAGTATTTCTAAGTATATAGTTACCTTGTAGAAAACCCTAGTTACTCAGTCCCATGAACCTTGAAGCAGGAGCGTGTGCATACACACAAACACTGGGGAGAGACCCTACTTCTGATTTGACCCTTAACCGTTAAACCCTCTCAGCCTTAGGCACTAGAACACAAAATCTCAAACCCTACACAAACCTCTACGCCATACCCAGTACCCTTACGAAAGCAATCACCACAAGCACCAACCTCCAACTCTGCTCTCCCTGAAGCTCAAGACCCTGCTCCAATGTAGCCTCAGTCTTAGTGAACCCGTTCTACGCTTCGAACTCTCTAGACATTAGGTAAGCTAAACTAGCTCCCTTAACTTCTGCACTCCGACAGCAACAGCTGCAGAATTGCGTAGAAAGTGCGCGAAGGTGTGACACTCGTGGTAAACTACGATGCGCCTGGGAATACGGAGGACGCCGATTGAGCCGCCCCCCCAAAATCTAAGTTCCCAAAATCAACTCGCAAACCTTCAACCCCTGCGTAGAATAGAAGCCCGAACTATTACCGATACTGTTTTGGGCGTAGGGTTATTAGGGTTTAGGGTATTCCTTTTAGGGTTCATGTACCCCAATAGTGCCAGTATCGTAAGCCCGAACACGCTGGTCTAGTTATTAGGGCCCCTGCGTTGTGTAATTACCCCACTCGTATGGGATCTAAACTTGGAGGCCAAAGCCTCCAAAGCAAGCCTGCCTTTTCCGGGTTTAGGGGTTTACGGTATACGTTCACGATAGAAGGACCCCTTGACGTAGGTGTTCAGGCTTCCCGATCAAGGCTTATAGGTATTTAGGGCTTGCAGGTTTTCAGGCTTGACGGGTGCTTAAAAGCTTACCGGTGTTTCAGTGTTTTTTAGTGCTTACTGGTGTTGAGGGTTTGGGAGTTTTGGATGATTGTTCTTTTGCAGGACTACGTGCATCGAATTGGCCGAACAGGCCGTGCTGGACAGAAAGGCTACCCGACTGCAGTTTCATAGAGGGTCCAGGCACCCAAGATGTATATAATGGACAATTAATATACGCACTGAGTGATAGTTGATGTAGGCAACCCTACCGTACCGGGGAAATTGGAGGGGGTTAGCGGCAACGCCGAGCAGAAGAAGGAGCATGGGCTACAAGCTTCATCAATGCCCTGAACTCTTGAACCACACCCCGTTCACACTATTGCGAGGCCCGACCAGGTGGCTTGCTGTCCTCACAGAAACCGTACCTAAACCCTAAACCCTACATGTACCCTAAAGCGGTATCTCAAGACGAGCTCGGAAGGGTTTTTTGGGCTGAAGATTTTGGATTCAGGGTGTAGGGTATTGTGATGTATTGTGTTCAAACTGAAGATGCCAAAGCCGAAATCCAGCTCGCTTAAAGACTGCTTCACAACGAAAGACTGCCCAAGCTTCCTGCCGCAGTCTCCAACGTGGTTTCTTGTGTTGTTATCTGCCCTAAACCCTAAACCCTAAACCCTAAACCCTAAACTTTTTACGGTTAGGATCCTGCAGAGCCCAAAGACTAAGAGTCCTAAGTATCCACGCAGTAGAAAGCAGGGGTTTAGGGTTCAGGGTTTAGGGTTTAGGGTTTAGGGATATGGTAGGAGTTACTATTATGGCTTGGGTAAGTATCCCCCATATAGGCACTCAGGATGCTACAGGTCCTTAAAGGGTTCCACAAGGAATCTATGGGGGGTTTTAGGGTGAGGTTCATGGGGGCTTAGTAAGTACAGTTATAAGTACCTTAACTGTTGTTACCCCAAGGGTCCAAAGGACCCAATTGTTAGGTACTCGGGTTTAGGATAGTAGTTATGTAGGTTAGGATTTTGGAGAGTAATTACATGATTATTGGATACTTGGACCCATGGGGTTACAGAAAATTAAAACTTGCATATCGCCCTAGTTACTACGTCCCATGAACCTTGAAGTCGCATCGCAGGGCCATAGCCTAAATCTTGGGCTTAGTGGTTTGGCCCACTACCCAGGACCTTCCTTGTACCCTCAAAGAGGGGTATATGGTCCCAAATAAGGGGCATACAGGGTCCAATAGAGGGTAGATGGAGGGTCTAGGACAAGGTTTCCTGTAAGGGTGATGATCCGTTGAAACCGGTATAAGCAATGCACTCAGGTTATGCTGTGACTATGATCACAGACAAGGATGCGCACGCGCTGCGTGGCATCATTGAGGTGATGAAGCGAACCAATCAGGACCTCGACGGGTTCAGGGTTTAGGGGTTAGGGTTTAGGGTTTAGGGGGTTCTCGTTCAGGAGCTTAGCTTCGAGTGTCCGGCATTCAACGGGGATGCATGGCAGAAATGTCGAAGAGGGTAGCTTAAAGCGCATACCAGGTTCATCAAGGTCCGCCCTGGATTGAAAGAGATGAAGACAGATAAACAGGTCCTTGGGAAGATGCCTCCACTAAAGTACCAGTGGATCCCTGCGACGTACTTTGCAACCCCTAGCTAAACCCCAAACCCCAAAGCCTAAACCCTGAACCCTAAACCTAAGCCCTAAACCCTACACCCTAAACCCTAAACCCTCAAACCTAAACCCTGAACCCTAAACCTTGGAGCCCTAGGGCAAGACTGTTGCCAGGAAGTCACTCCAGAGGTTGAGGCGCCTCTGCAGCTCAGGGCGTGAGAAGTTTGCAGGATTTCGGGTTTAGGGTTTGGGATTTACAGTAACAGCCCAAAAGTTGGAAGCCCCGTAGCCTCAATCCCTGAGAGCAATGTATACGGAATCCCAGCACTATTTGGCCTTAATGGGGTTTCCAACTTTTTGGGGTTTACTCTAGGATGTTTAGGGGGTGGGGTGTAGGGTTCGGGGTTTAGCGTTTTGAGGGTTTGGGGGTTAGAACCCCAATAGTAGGTGATGACATGACGCCTCGAAACAGTATAGGCCTTTGGGAACCCCAGTAGACCCCTAAACATTGATTGTTCATGTAGCCCTTCCTAGACCGCTAGCTGTATAGCTCTAATTGTTGGGATAACTTGTTCCTTGTAACAGGTATTGGGTGGGCAAGGTAAATGATGCGTAGGTACGCGAGTTCATAAAGTCTTTTTTAGCAGCTTCCATGCAACCCACTGTACTACCAAACAGATCTGAAAAAGCCCCAGTAAAATACATATATATATATATATATATATATAACTCCCTTCAAAACCCTACGCACCCCTTGAAGGAACCCTTTATGAGCACCTAAGAGTCCTGGCGTCTGAGACTGTGCACCAGCCCTTATCCAGTCAATTTAGGGTTCCGGTAGACTACACGTCGAGGTCAACTAGGACAACCACACTTAATGTATATGATTGGATGATCATGGATAGCCTTGACCTATACTTCCATATACTGTATAAGTCCCATGAGCTTACAAGTGCAGTCCAGGCCATGTCGGCGCGGGCGGGGCCACCACCGCCCAGCGGCCGGGCCTTGCGCGGCGGAGGGGGACGACGCTGAGTGCCGCGGCAAGGTTTTTATGTAGACGCTTAGGTTTTTGCCTTGTCGATATGTATATAATCATAATTATAGAATATACTGATGGTAACAGTATTACAATCAAAAGAAAGAAAAACATCATCTTTGATATATATATATATATATATATATAAAAGTGCAGATACAAATAGGTGGAGACCCTACAGGCCAGCAGAGGTATACTAGCCTCTACTTCACTACCTTGTCACACTTGGGTTTATCTTCTCCCTTTACTGAGAAATAGCTTCCCCGGGTATGCAGCGCCTGGTCCAATCCAGTGTGCTGAAGGCTGCCACGACCAAGCCGTGGCGTTCTCCTGATTATCAGGGGCGCTGGAGCGCTCGCACCCTCCTCTGCAGATGAAATCTGGAGAGTGTGAGCTGCCTCTGGCAAGATAGCATTGTCTATAACAGAACTACTTGGAGGATCATGCGACTTAGTAACTATAAGGTTATAAGTAAGGTAACTATATACTTATAACTCCAATTAGGGTACTTATAACCTTATTTACTAAGTCCCATGATCCTCCAAGTAATGCAGGAAGCCAAGTGAACATGTAGTTGTTTCTATAGACGTTGGCATGACTTGTAGAGGCCACGCTAGGTGTGCCTGAAACTCCTCATCTCCAAATCTGTCGCAAGGCCAGTAGTTTCATGTGTTTCTGGACTGCAGCAGAGTAACTCTAACATGCACGGTAGCTAGGAACCGTGAGAAAGCACAGCAGGTCGCGTAATGTTCCACCGCATCCGCTTCAAAGGTCCTTCATATGATTATTATAAGCCTTTGCACATTGTGGATAATATGTGCTGTTGCCTTGTGCTTCAGCGCAAGGATCCAGGTGATTGTGGCACGAATGCGTGCCTATGAGCACGGGTGAATGACTATGCTCCCGCTTCTTGGCGGGCCAGCAGCGCCCTCTGTGCGCTTCTGCGCATCAGCTGCGCCAGCTCAGCAGCTGCTTCTGCGCAGTGGCTGCGCCGAGGGCAGGGGCCCGCCTTGTTTCCAATCATGCTCGGGAATACAACACAGGGTGCAGTGTTGTTTGCGAGCATGGTTGGGGGCAGGCACTGCCGAGTGAGAGGGAAAGGGTCGAAGGGCTCTGCAGGGAGATTTCTGATCTCTGCGTGCCCTCCCAGGTTCTCAATGGGGGCACCGTCTGCGCAGCCGGCTGTAAAAGCCGGAACTTGGATGTTTGAGTCTCATGGCTTCTTGGGCCGGAGGCCTATGAGCCTCCCTTCTGCGACCCGACCGGCTGGTGCGGGCCTTTGCCGGCTGATCCTTTCGATCAGACTTGGCAAACTGCCCCGCAAATCTCAAAGCTACTTTCCCTGAGCCCTGAAAGCCTGGGAACTCCTCTGCCCAGCCCTGCGTTTGCAACAGGTCCCTTCTAGTAGTCGTGCCACTCCAGCTCCCAACCAAGTACCCGGTAGTCCAGGCAATATTCTTTCAGGAAGAGATTAAAGTCGATCTTCATACTACAAGGGACCCTGTTGCATGCGCATCTTGCGCTCTTTGGCGCCTCCTGGCGCAGTGATCGCCGCTCGCACCCCAGGCAGGGGGGCAAGCTGAAGAGACGACTTCGATCTTGGAGAGGGGTGTCTCTTCTGACGAATGAGGCCTCTTTCGAACTAGGGCTCCTGCTACTCAACTCTAAGCCCCACACACACCACGCGACCTAGTCTTGACCACAAGGACCTCCTGAAGAGAGCATATCTCTCGAATCGCCATCCCTCCGAGAGCCATTTCATCTGTGTTAAACTACGATGCGGCCAAACTCCTACATCCCGAAAAAGCCCACTCGCGTAACCCAACGCGGGCACTAAAACCATCTAAGACCCCCGAACATCTGCGCAAAGCCAAAGACCCTCAAGAGCCTTCAGCCCTAAACCGTAAAACCTACACTCCCACTAAGGCTCTTCCCCGGTTGCAACAACGACTCTTCGAAGGAGCACCGGTGAGTGCTCCGAATCCTTGCACAGCCTGCGATCTCACGAGCACGGAGTGTCCTACTGGAGAGAGGGAAGCTGCAGAATTCAGGGAGCATAGACTAGGGTGCCCAGTAGTACCCTTATTCCCTTTTTGTAGTCCTAGGTTCCTTATAAAGTTGCCCAATACCAAAAAGAGAGGCCTTTTTTTTTTCTTAGGTTACTGGGTATCCTAGTAGATTTTGTTGCATAGAAATGGGTTGGGAGGTTCAGAGGTTGATGGGGTGTCAAGGGTGTTAAGGGTTCTTCTTGCAAGAGCATAACACAAGGTTCTGTAAGGATGTTGCAAGCTGTGAAAGTGCGTGATTACTGTGCGTGATTTTCTCAGGCTGAACTCATCGGACTTAGGGATTTGTTTGGGTTTGGGGTTGTGGGTTCCGGGATTTCCGGGTTTCTGGTTTAGTACTCAGAGTGCAGGGTTCTTGATTTAGGTTTGGGCTCTTGTTGATGGGTTTCTTTAGAGTGTTGGGTTTAGGCGCCGTAGCTTTTAGCGGAAGGCTTTTGTTCGGGGCATCCTGATCTAAAGGATGCATGAGAAAATTACCAATGTTATTTCCAGGGTTCCTTATGATGATTAGATTATAAAGGGACCCAAAACCTGTTCTAATTATTAAGGACCCTATATTACACTCTAAACCCCTTTGCCCCTTTCGAAAACCTCGGAGTTCCCCAGTGCCGATGGTCACTCCGTGGCATCGTTCGCACACCTGCCCAGCCATGAGAGTCAGCTCCAGTAGCTGATCCTTTCTTTGCCCGCACATTCCTCAGCCGTAAGCTTTAGCCCTAGATTATGTCTTGCGCTGTAAACCTTTATTAGGCTGGCATTTCGGACATGATGTCCTGCTTTGCGCTGTCTCATGCAACCTGACAAACAGACCCTGAGATGAGACAAAAAAGGACGGATGGGCCTGGATCGTGTTGTGACTGCTTGTTGCGAACATATTGTCTCGCTTCAAATCTTAGTGATTGCCGTTGTCAAGGGCATAGTAGCAGTAGCAGCACTCGTAGTCGTAGTTGCACTTGTCACCGTCGCCGTTGTCGTCGTGGTCGTCGTGGTAGTAGCAGTAGCAGCAACAGTGGTAGTCGTCGTCGTAGTAGTACTAGTAGTAGTAGTAGTAGTAGTAGTAGTAGTAGTAGTAGTAGTAGTAGTAGTAGTAGTAGTAGTAGTAGTAGCAGCATTAGCAGTAGTAGTAGTAGTAGTAGTAGTAGTAGTAGTAGTAGTAGTAGTAGTAGTAGTAGTAGTAGTAGTAGTAGTAGTAGAGTAGGAGTAGGAGTAGCAGTAGCAGTAGCAGTAGCAGTAGCAGTAGCAGTAGCAGTAGCAGTAGCAGTAGCAGTAGCAGTAGGAGTAGGAGTAGGAGTAGGAGTAGGAGTAGGAGTAGGAGTAGGAGTAGGAGGAGGAGTAGGAGTAGGAGTAGGAGTAGGAGTAGGAGTAGGAGTAGGAGTAGGAGTAGGAGTAGGAGTAGGAGTAGGATTAGGAGTAGGAGTAGGAGTAGGAGTAGGAGTAGGAGTAGGAGTAGTAGTAGTAGTAGTAGTAGTAGTAGTAGTAGTAGTAGTAGTAGTAGTAGTAGTAGTAGTAGTAGTAGTAGTAGTAGTAGTGGTAGTGGTAGTAGACGTAGGAGGAGGAGTCGTAGAAGTCGTACAAGGACGAGGAGGAGCAGCAGAAGTAGAAGTAAGCAGCACCTGACCAGACTTATGACTGTTCGCTTTGCTGCAGTGTTTTACCACCATGCCCTGAATACTATAGTATACCCCAGAATCCAACTCTGATTGTTAAGGCTCCACAGTGTTAGAGAACTCTACTCTAGATCCTTGTAGACTCCTTTCCGGAAGCATGTACTTGGAAGGGCAGCGGACTTAGTAAGTAGGTTATAACTTGGGTAATTCTATTTAGGGTACTTATAACTCTACTTATAACCTACTTACTAAATCCCCTGCCCTTCCAAGTAATTGAAGCCCTAAACCCTAAACTCTCGCCTCGCCAGTCTGAGCTCTGAGCTCAGCCGTGCTTTTGCTATGACAGCGCAATCTTAAACACATCTAACCCCAAGGGTCCAAAGGACCCAATAATCAGGTACTCGGTTTTAGGACAGTAGTTATGTAGGTTAGGTTTTTTCGGAGAATATATGATCATAAGGTACTTGAACCCTTAGTGTAGTAGGCCTTCGCAATTAGCAATACTATTCCTCAGTTTTCCTACCGGTAACTACACTTTATGTTAACTTTAAACTTTTTGGCTCTACATATTTGGTCTATGCTAAAAAGTTTGAACTTTTTTCGGCCCGGTTATGGAAGAAGACAGAATATAACTAACATACCCCAAAACCCTATTCTAATTATTAGGGCCGCTATATTGGCTCTCCTAGTCGCTTCGTCCTACCCTAAGCCTTACCTCTAGTCTCCGTTGTAGTTCCTTTTTGGGGGTTACCTTTTAGAATCCCTAATATAAAATTGGTTAAACCAAAGAAAGGAACTACAATGATGGGTAAAGTTACCCTAATGCTCCCTGACCCCCGTAGTGAGATCCCAAACCCTAGCCCCCAAAGCCCAAACCTTTCCCCCAGAAAGCCCATGACCCCTTCAGGAGCCTTAGGGTAGACCCTAAACCACAAACACTGACCCACTCGTCTTCTGAGGCATCTTGGCCGGTGCAGAGTGCTCGCACCGCGCAACGAGCTCGGAACATTGGAATTCCTTCCCGCCAGTTTAAAGTTTAAAGGGCAAAAGTAGGGTTCCATATTATTATGGGGGCCTTAGTTAGAATAGGGCTTGGGGGTATATCGAGGATAAGTATCGAGGAAAGGGCGTTCATAAACAGTGAAGAATACAGTTCTTGCGTGTCACATTTTCTGGATGCCGTGTTCAGGGCAGCCGGATATTCGCTGTTTCGGCGTGTGTCGGTCATGTCGTAGCCTTGGGGAGCGAAACCTAGCGGGTTCAAGGGTTTTGCACTCCATTTTTGCTTTTATAGTAACGAGTTGGAGCATGGTTTGGGGATGG